TAGCGCTCGCGAGCTACCTCTATCCATCAAGTCGAGCTTTGACAATCCTTCCTATAGTTGTGTTCTCGGGCATTGCTGGTTTTCGATGGCTCTTGAGAATGGCGACATCAACACTTACATTGCGGAGCTCACTAGAGAAGCACAATGCTACTTTCCAGACGCTACTGAAGCTCATCCCTGCAAAGTACTATTTGATGCAGGACGATTCGGAAGAGCAGGCGAATCAGCAGTAATGATCCCCTGCTGAGTGCATATTGATTCTATATGCTGTGTCTTACCCTGCGATGCGACTTCACGCAACAGATAGCATCTAAATACCAGAAGAACAGCAAAAAGCAGAAGGCACCGAAACAAGCGATCAAAGAGGCACCGAAAAGGCCAAAAAAGAAAAGGTATGCATACATGCGTCCGGTTCAACAGTGATCGAAGTCTAAAGTGCGACCCAGCTCGACCCCGCTGATAACAAGACCGTCATCGACTTCAAAACGAATCCCTGCAAACGGCAGAGCAGAGTGGTTCAAGCAAGAAGAGTAAGGGCAAGCAAAAAGCAGACGCAGCCACGCAAGGTCCGGGTTCTGATGGAGATGCTATGGACGTGGACGTGATTGTCGATGTCGACGTCGACGGTGCGGCTTCCGGCACAGACGAACGACCAATGCAAACCCTGGTGCCCATGCTGGAGTAGGGCAGCATCGAGGCACTCAGAGAGAAACTGCACGCAAGGATGGCGGAGCTACGGTGTGGAGGGAAGGGGGATGGTGGTGGTGGGGAGGCAGGGAGTAGGGATGAGCTGCTGGAGGAGCGGTGGAAGCAACGGGCGGCGATGAGAGAGAGGCGGAGGAAGGGAACAAAGGAGAAGATCAAGCATGAGGAGGAGATGAAGGGCAAGAACGGAAAAGAGAAGCACAAGGGACCGCAGACGAAGGTACGCAACCAACCCGCAGAATAATTGCACTCAGAGAGGGAAGATGCTGACGATGATAATGATCAGATGCAATTACTAGTTCAGGATCAAGGCTCGTCATCGAATTCAGGTCCATCACAAGACCCCAAGTCGAAGTATGCCACCGTCGCATTCTCTGCGGTCACCGGTAATCCGAGCAAGAAGGCGGACCACCTCAAGACGGTCTCAAATCCTGCCCAGGTGTTGGAGCAGCTTGCAGCATGCAAAGAAAGGCTCGCAGCGATGCCAGAGGAAAAGCGCAAAGCGATTGAGGAGCGCGAAAAGTGGGAAAAGGCGGAGGCGTGAATGGAGGGTGTCAAGGTGCATGACGACGAGGCTCGGCTAAAGAAGGCGACGAAGCGGAAGGAGAAAACGAAGCAAAAGAGCAAGAAAGCCTAGTGCGTATTCGCTGTCTATTTCTACGATATAAAACACGTTTTGACTAATGAGTGCGCAGGGATGAACGCAAGGAGCAAGTTGAGACCACAATGGTCGCCAAGCAGAAGAAATGCGCGGATAATATCGCGATGCGCAGTGAGAAGAGGAACGACAAGCGTTAGGGCGTGAAGACAAAGGGCAAGGGTCGGCCGGGTTTTGAGGGCAAGTCATTTGGAAAGGGCAAGAAGTGGTGTCCTTCGACTCTTTAACTACAGTGTGATGCGCTGTCTCGTCGAGCACACTTTCTATACACTACCCCATGTGTACATGATTCATCGAGAGCACTGGCTTGATTGGAAACGTTCAACACACCATTTGTTTTGTGAGGGAATAATGTGTGCATTTGGTGCGATCACTTCCACGGGCGTCTATGAGCGGTAGCACTTTTGGCTTCACTTCCACCACCAAATTCCACCACCAAACTGCAGCATTGGACAATTCATCTCGATGCTTGTGGACGACTAGGCTTTGTATCTTTTTCTGTCATTACAACCGGATCGGCTGGTTGAGTGCTGGCGGTGGAATAATCGTGCTCCCAATCGTCGACTGGCTTACGCTCGGTGCTGGCAGTACACTTTCTGATCCATCACCCAATTGATAGCATTGGTCGCCTTCTTAGGATATGTCCAGCCCTAGAATCGTCCAAACAGCTGTTGTACACATGCATCGCCGCAAGTCGAGCAGGGA